GCTACTACGACTGCTACGACGACGACGACGACGACGGCGACGACGACTACTACTACTACCACCACCACGACCACGACTATGACTACGACTACCACTACTGCTGCTGCCGCTGCTACTACTACTACTACTCCTACTCCTACTCCGACTACGACTACGACTACTACTACTACTACTACTACTACTATCACTACTACCACTACTACTACTACCACCACCACTACCACCATGACGACTACGGCCACTACTACGACTGCCACCACCACTACCACTACCACTACTACGTCGACGACTACTACTACTAACACACACAGAGACACAGACGCCCTGCAACGCCATGAAAGCTGCGCAAAGTCAGGGAAAGCAGCTGCTCAGCTCCATGGCAAGATAGCTCACATACTCTCGCAAGCCCCACCCGTGCACGGCACAGGCCCACCCTGACCCTCACCAAGACCCTGAAAAAAACATCATAGTAGGGCAGCCAAACACTCACTAGATGTTTTGCAGGCCGCATCCACCGCGGCCCAAAACAAAAGTGCCAGAGTTTTCCTCTACTTCGAAGAGCAACTAGGAGGATCTCAAATGATCTGAATCTGATTATGCGAGCGCTGCCAACTGCACTCCAATTCTGAACTTACGCCCAGGCTGCGCACAGCAGAAGCAGCGCCCACTCGCGGCCATAGCCATAGCCGTGCAGAAGGACGATGAGCGCAAGGTGGCAGGCCAGGAAAGACCACACCAAGTAGTAGGCCTGGGTAGAGTATGCAGACTGCTCTGGCAAGCGAGGTATTGACATCCTTCTGGCTTAGAATTCCTTGAAGGCGAGAAAAATGGCAGGGACACAACCATCCTTTAGCAGCCTAGCATGGCCAACATATCATATGCCAACATGTGCTCCAGATAACACCCCATCTGAACTCGAGCACCCACTGGTGGGACTCAGACCCTTCAGCTGCTTTGCTAGCGTTTTTGATTCCACAACGGTGCTTCACGGCTCTGAATTTAACTATATTGGTTGTGGAACCGGCATTTCGGCATGTGCATCTGATGCTTGCGTTCTGTGCATCATAGGCAAGCAGGACTTCTGCATGCTACACCTCAGCCGATCTCCAACTGTAAACTGCAGTACCAGCGGCCGAACAGGGCTTGAGGATGGAAGCAACGAAGCCTCAATTCCCGTCGCATGTTAGAGAAGCGGCGAGCAGTCATGCTAGCAAGGAGCCAATACGCGGCAAACTTCGAGTCGCAGGATATCCATACACCCTACAACTTTTCGGGCAAACTTGACGCCCAGGGGCCAGAGAGCGCTCCCACGGCAACAGCGGCCAGTCCACGAGAAGCCTTCGACAAGGAACAGTAGGAAGACACAGGCAGGCACACTTCAAAAAAAATCCAGCTGCTCTGGTTTTGGCCCGCCTTCTTCTTGTCCGGGTACTCGAGCTCGTCGTAAAATCGGGTAGGCGCAGGAGGCCTCAGCACTGCATCCATACTTTTGTGAATCTACTTTCTCTGAGGAAAAGGAGAAATAAAAGAGAAAGAGAGTGTGAGAGAGCCCTTCTTCACGTAGACTTGGGAAGCTAGGGGCCTGACACCACGACCTTGCCCTTTCTTGGTTCAGGCAGAATCGGAGGGGCTGTGTAGTGAGGATGAGCCTGCCATTGATGAATCCTCAGTGACCGCACTCAAGTTCGCAGCCAAAAGCTCAGGAGACTGCCGCAAGAAATGCACTAGTGTTTCACTTTGGCTGAATTGTCGAGACTTGACTTGGGCCAAGCAATTTGGAGCCTCAAACAAACTGCAGAAAAGCAGCTGCTGCATACGTTGGCGCTGTTGCCCCAGGTGCATCCTGGCAAAGCCCGCCAGCACACCGAAGCTCGGATCCCAAACTACTACTAGAATCTCGAACAGAAAGAAACTGACATGGTTTTGCTGCCGAAATCAAAGGGCCTGATGAAACAACCTCAAACAGAATGTGATGCCTGCCAGTGCACAGAGCCCAACTGAATTCTGCACCTACTACACCCTTGGGACGTGCAAGAGCAAGTCTCTGCTGCATCATCATCTCTCTTCTTCGCAGCTCCGTCAGCGCCGCAGGTCCCTTGCTGTCATCTTCCTGACAGACTTCACCCTGTCCTCAATGTTCAGATACACATCGCAGCACTACAGGACGCGCTGAGCCTCCGGAAGCTCCACACCTTCCTTGGCCGCCAGAGCTTTCAGCACCGCGCTGTCAGGGCAGACGAGGAGCCCCTGCCTAAGTGTGGGGCTAAGCTGGGCCAAATGTGAAGCACTATAATGCACTATAGCACCCCGTCCTGCCTTAGCGCTGCTACAGCAGCTTCCACAAGGCCCATCTCCTGGCCGGATGG